TTTAATTATGAAGTTTACGAAAATAAAGAGAAAAATGTAAAAACAAATAGAATTTACACAAGTGGTAAAATTTTGTACAACCCACTTCAATGAAAATAAAATGAGAACATCATCAATGTAGTCGAAGTCAATCAAATACGAATTACTAAGGATAACTCAAAACTCAAAAAATTTGATCGAAATCTAACGGGTTAGATCTTGATCAAATTTATATGGGACCACATAAGAAGCACCAACTTTCAAATAAAAAAAGAATCTTCGAAATCGGTTAATCAAGAAAAAAGTTCTGAGGACACGCATAAAAAATAGAGCCGAATTTAGAATCTCCTCCTTTTTTGAAGTCGGCTTAACTATACTATCACGACGCATGCCAAACTTAATTTTATGAAGAACATGTAAAAATCGCATTTTTACAAACTATTCGTTCGGTCTGACGTAAGTTTTTGACAACTATTTTGTTTCATGGATAGATTTTATGCGCATTTTGCAATAAAGAATGTTTTGCAGAGTAAAATTATTTTTTTTTTCAATATAGAAACCAGCTTGCATTCAAAGGATTTGTAAGCAGTCATTATAATTTACGAACAAAAAGCTTTTTGTAAATTTAACTATTTGCTAAAATAGTTGTTTCTCGGTTTCACATTCAGATTTAAAGTTTCTATAACAAAATAACAGTAATGACAAAATTATATCGGATAGTTTTAATAAAGCGCGACACGTTCGTAAAAGAAATATTTTTGTAGAACATAGAGTACAGTAATATATAGGTAAGGGAATTTAAAGGGGTTATAGACCATTGTGTACAAAGAACTCTTTGGCAGGGTAGTGCACTTGTCCGTCCATACTCTCAGCATTTTAATAATAATAATATTATAATAATAATATATTTATTTGCTTAAAACATGATATGAAAAAGATTTTATAAATAATTTATGATAGACTCTGCTTGTGATGAAAGTTTTAAAAGATGATTTAACAGGATTAGTCCGTTTAAACAGTACATGATCATTTAGTACGCTGATATTCAATATTATTCTGAAATCGCGTTCAGCTCAAATGAACTTAGGAATTATTTTAATTATGCAATCACCTCACAGTGTTAGTTTACAGATCGGTCACTCATATCACATAAAGTCTTAAACTTACTTGAATACATTCTTGTTAATTATTAATATTTATTAGCGTAAATGACGACCATTACAATCATCATGATGGTAAATGGATGCTGCGGCCATAGACACCTAGATCTAACTAAAATCTAAAGTCAAATGCGTTTTAGTCCCTGAAGATTAAAATAAAATGTCTTACCACCAGTAGAAGGGTAGGTTTTAGTCCCTGAAGATTAAAATAAAATGTCTTTTCACCATTTCACTACTTTACGCTAGTATTCTTTAAATAGTGGAGTACATAAAATATGAATTACCTAAGATTATTACAGTGTACAGTTGAAATGAATTAATTTCCAGGTACTTTTTGTACATTTTAGCGCTGCAGCCATATTAGTATAGTTGTAGCACGAATGGGTCAGCTCGACCAGGTAAGGAACACGCTCTCACAGAATACCAGCGTAAAATAGAAGCTTAACGCTGCTATTTTTCGTATGGTCAGTGTAGAGAAGTAGACTCTTTTTACTGGAAACGTGGCATTCCACTTGGTCCTCATGGGTGACAACGCATCTGCATTTTAATTCGTAATCCAGGATAGATGTAGATGTCTATGGGCCACAGCAACCACTTACCATCACGTGGACTGTGTGCTCTTTTGCCACCTATAAAAAAAAGTTGGTTGACCCTGCATGCCATCCCTGGAACATCCCGCAAATTAAAATATCAAAGCTGTTTAAATTCCACCTAGTGTGATTCTTCGAGCTCAAAACCGTCATAATTTTGGAAAACCACGTTTTTTATTTTTTTTAAAGAATATTTCACGAAAAAATCAACCGGTATTTATAAGATTTCTTTCCACAATAACATTTCTCGGACTTTGAGTAAATACTTAAAGCTCTCGAACGAATCAACAGATTTTGATGTGGTTCACTGATTAGATTATAAGATTGATCAAAACAAAAGTGTCGGAATAATTCCAAGAAAACCTCGTTTTAAAAATTAAGAAAATTCGAATCTTTTAGGTTTTCTCGGAATCTACCGTCTACCGGTACCGGTCTAAATTCAAAGAAAATCTAAATTCAGCTAGGCCCTTTAGATGATGTCGTAAACCGCTTTTCGATCAGACACTCCGTCACAAAGTTATGAGATGTTTACATGCTTACATCAAAACACATAAACACACACACAAACACACACACACACACACAATACGGACATCATCGCAAAAATAGCCAGAATAGCTTCCTACGACGTCGAAACGTCGAGATCTGATGAGAACTCAATTTTCAAAAACCGAGCTGAAAATAATAACTTCCCCATTTTGTTCAATATAGATTATATTGAACAAAAATGATTCTATTCTAGAGATTGAAGTAGGTATAATTTTGAACTTACAAAACGAGTTTTACAATGCTTAAAACCGTTTCATTATAATGCCAATAATAGTTGATAATTACCACTCGCTGTATAAACTGATATATTGTCGTCACAAGTAGTTGGCACTTTCATAAAAACATGAGGAAGTGATCCACCTAAACCTGTTTCGCCCTCATATGGACCGAAATTAGTTCGATCTTGTTGTCCTGCACTTCTTTAAAGATCACGTTGACATTTATTATACATACATAAATGAATATAAAAATTGTTGAATTTTTTGTCGTTGTAGCAGAGTGAACGAACGCTCGACTTTTTTTAGAACGCAACTAGAGTTCATTCCGGAGTATTCTCGCAATATATTTCGAGGTCCAATTTAACTGATTCTACCTAAGAGAATAAAATATATTTTAAGATCATTAAAAAGTTCATTTTATCAACGCGTAGTAGAGCTCTATTTTGCTTAATCCTTAAGGTGAAAAAACGGAGGAATTCTGAGTCAGTAATAAAATTTATAAAAAAATAATTATTGGGTACTTTTTAGTAATTTCTTGCGGCAAGCAGTAATGCTTTCACATCCACTGCTTTGTTCTCGTTAGCAGGGTAGGTACGATGGTGTACGTGTAATGTATACATACATTATAGGCATTCCATCTCAACCTTCACAGTCGACAACTCATATAGAGCCTTATTTTAATGAGTTGCAGATGTCGAAGTAAATACGTTTAATATAAATTTTATATTTATTAATATATTGTTGTAGAGCCGTGGTAGCTCAGTGGTTATCGCTCGCTGTAAATATAACAGAACGCGAGTAACCCGGGTTCGATCCCCGCCGGCACCAATGAAATTGTTAATTGCAATTTTAAGTGCTGATTTACCACGTGCTCGGCGGTGAAGGAAAACATCGTTAGGAAACCTGCATATCTGAGGAATAAGAAAAAAAAATATTTCGAAGACATGTGAAGTTCGTCAACACGCATTTGGGCAGCGCGGCGGACACTTCCTTGCCCTAAACCCTCTGAGGGGGAGGCCTGAGCCCAGCAGTGGGACGTATATAGGATGTAACCTTACCTTACCTTACCTAATATATTGTATTGTTGACTTAGCGTATGTTAAACAAAATATGCTACCGTGATTTAACGAAGTGTTCAAGCTACCAACTAAGTATTAAGTTACGCAAAACCTTTTAATATATTTTAGGTTTTCTTTTTTATGTGACTAATAAACGGACAAACAGACTATCTGATGGTTAGTGAATGCTGTCACCCATAGACACCTTTTCACCTTCACAGTTATCCTCGAATAAGAAAATGCAAATGCGTTGTCACCTCTGAGGGCTAAGAGGGAATGGGTTTTTCACAATTACCACACTAAACACAGCGGCACGTCATTACGTTGTTATTTTACGCCGATTTTCTGAGACAGCTTGCAGCGTGTCTACACAATTTATTGCAATTATAGTGCACAAAATCTATTATGAAATTACTAAGGTTTAGTTATGATTCTTTTGATAAGTACAGTTTGCAAAAGGTGACTTAACGTGTTCAGTTCAAATATCGGTATCGGTTCGACTATCGAACTTTTATATTAATATCGACAGATATTAATATAAGAGTTCAATACTCGTAAAAAAACCTATTGAAATTATAAATGAGTAAACGAAACTATTTTCAAATTTTAAATTTGGAAAACAAAAATAGTTTTTCTTTCGGATTTCTAAATTAAAGCGTGAACAATTAATATTTTTTTTAAATTTATTCCTAAGACCTTTTTTATAGAATTAGTGTGACAAACGAGCACACAGTCCACCTGATGGTAAGCGGATGCTGTGGCCCATAGACATCTACATTTATCCTCGATTAAGAATAAGAACGCAGATGCATTGCCACCTCTGAGGACTAAGATGGAATGTCTCGTTTCCAGTAATAAAGGGTCTCAGTTTTTCTACACTCACCATACGAAACACAGCTGTATTAAGCTGCTATTTTACGCTGGTATTCTGTGAGAGCGTGGTCCTTCCCCGGTCGAGCCGACTCATTCGTGCTACCACCATAATATAGCTACAGTGTGGCTCTTATAGACCAGATATAATATTCCAATAATATACCTTCTTAATGTACCTACATGTGTAATAACTATCCTATTATCCTATTAAAAATATATGTTTTGTTGTGAATGTTAGCAGCGTAAACAACTATTTGATATTTTTTCGTAGACTTATCTTGATATTCATACAACGATCAACGAATTACAAATTCTAACATTGAACATTGAATGAGATATGATGAGGACAGTGAGCGGTGGAAGCATATAATTAATACCTGTAAAGTAAGTCGAAATACATTTAAATGAATCTATACTTAATATAGGTTAAATATTATATATATATTATATATGTAGTTATTTTGACTTTGAGAAGGAAAAATAGGCCGTCCGTCTACCTTTCTCGTAACCAATATAACATTTAAAGTAATATTCAAATTATGAAAATTATAACGAATCTTAATTTGGTCATACCAGAAGTGAAATCCATATAAAATCGATCCTCATCTCGTGACAGAACTTTATTTCCGCACAGGAACAGCTGATTTACTGTATCGATAAGGACATGTCCACACTATCGATTGTACAGAACATTGTTCCGGTTGGAACTATCGAAAAACGCGATTATTTTTATCATAGCATTATAGTATCAATACGTTTTTGTTCAGCGGCATTGCAGTCACACTGTAAAACTAAGCGATGCCCTCTGATTCTCTTTTCGAACTTCGAATTGGAATAAGCGGTTCACTTCTAGTACGCGTGTGTCCTGCGCGCGCGCTCACATTGACTACGCTGTGCACCAACAAACTACTGTCGGTGCTGACCTTCCCAATTAGCAATTAAATTTATGTAATGCACTTTCTTAAGAATTCATGACGTGTTCATTGTAGCGAACGCACGCGAGCTCAATCAACAAGGAGTACGGATCTCAATATAGTATACTTTAGGATAAGTAATAATAATAATACTTTAATAATAAATTTTACTTATAAGATTTATTATTAATTTAATTACAAAAAATCCTATTCTTAAAACACATTAAATTAAAGCAATGATTTTAAATAAATTTGAAAATAAAATTTCACTCTTTTTCTTTATACACAAAGAATGTAGAGAATATTGAACGACCAGCGTAACTTAACCTGTAATTTACGTATTCAATGCCCGTAGTAAGGATCATGCCCGTATTGAGGTGCTGCGTAGGGGTCATACTGCGGATACGAAGGCGGCTGGAACAAAGATTAAGCAAGATTTAAATATGGAAGAAGTTTGAGTACTATTTTTTCATTTTTACTTACGGTTTAACAATATGAACTTTTATTAAATTTAGTGGATAATTTGTAACTAAAGATTTTGTTTTTACTCTCAATGATGTGCGTGCAACAATGAACGTGCGAGTTCGGTTTAGAATTAAAAATAAGCCACGAAAATCAAAAGTCCACAGCTGAACATAGGCCTACTTAGATTGCCTCATAAGGGTTAAATAATTCATAAAGGGATAAAAAACACCAGTTGCTGCGCTTAACGGGCGGGTTTGTAACCACAGTTTATTTTAACTTTGTTATTACTGATTTGTTTACCTCTGTAGACTCTTACGACACCATATCGTGTAGTACATATTTTACATCGCCACTACAAGTTATATTTATGAAGTTATTAACGAATAAAACAAACTGATAAAAACAGGTTTATTATACTTTAGAAACTGTACTCCAGTAAATAGGAATTTTAGGCAATCACTATATCTACTTATTGGTCGCTGAGCTCTGCGCTGGTCAATAGCAGGCTGCTACACGAGAACCTTTCTTTCTTATCAGTTGTCGGTTGTTCTTCGAGCTAAAAGACTGGCTAATTGTGCCGCTGGGCTATGCCAGTGATTCTAGTTCTTTCTGTAAATATTCCTCGTTACGGTTGGAATTGTTGGAGTTGTTGAAAGTTGATGGAAATGTCCAACAGTAGACCCGTTTCATCCATTATTAATGCCAGTAATGATAATGATAATGATGATGAAGGTGATCAAATAGGAAATAGGAATTCAGTAAAGTTACATCTTAGGCAGAATTAAAAAAAAATGGAATTATAATAATTCTTAGTAATAATAAATAAATAAGGAACCATTTTAGCTTAGTACGCGAGCGATCCAGGTTCAATGTTCGATCCCAGCCGGCACCAATTAAATTTTTAAATGCAATTTGAATTGCTTGTTTACCACGTGTTCGGCGGTGAATCAAAACATCGTGAGTAAATCTGGATGTCAGAGGTATAAGACATTTCACGGCCATGAGAAGTCCGCCAACACGCAGTGGAGCAGCGAAGCGGATTAATTGCTCCATAATAACCTCTGAGAAATGAGAGAACGCCAGCTATAGGCTGTAATTTTTATTTCTTCTCATTATTGTTTTTTTTTTGATCACCTGATAGTTGTAGGTAGGTTTTTTCTTTTCTGCGACTTCCCCGTGCACATGTTTCTTTAAAAGCAAGCCACTCGCAATCAGTTCCTTAAGCTTGAGCTTCGTAGACAATAAATTGGCCGCTAAAGCTTTGTTGAAAACTTTGAGCTCCTTGACCTTAGCTTTGATAGCCCACAATGCGTCTTTGAGCAAATCCAGTTTGCCCATCGAGGCGTCACCATCCTCTTGGTACTCATCACTGTCGTACGACGGCGTTTCATAGGCAGCCCGGTACAACTGCTGTTCATCTTCATCCATGTCTGCGTATCGGGGCAAGTGCCTTGACAGGGCTGAAAATTATGAATATTTATTAGATATTTTAAAAAAAAGTTTATAATGCTTTAAAATAAGATATCAAATGGTGATACTTCCTTAAAAATTATGGAAGATATTCCAGTGAAGTTAAGTGACCTTTAGTTATTAAGTTTCTAATCTAATGAAACAAGCTTAATGGTTTAAACATTGTTTAAAAAAACTCGACTACGTAAAACAGTTTACTGAAAGGTGAATAACTATTTTTCACGTTGATTAGACCTTAATATTTAGTAAGATTATAAGTTTCGAAAATTTAAATGAGAATGGTTGCTTATCAACTTAAAATCGTTATAGATCCTAAATGGTCATTTAAAATAAATATGATAAGGGACACCTAATGGTTTCGAAAGACCTATTGAGTGATACCCCACTTGACATAGTCCGTCGACTTTCTCATATGAAGCATGGAGTATGGAGGTAGTTGACTGTCGCCATATTGAATATTGACTACTGTCATGTATTTAATGACACACAAGATTGTGACAAATCGGTTGATGATTTGAATTTCGATAGATTTAAATTAATTAATTTATTTAATTCAAAATTTTACTTTTTATTTTCCAAAAGTGCCATAGGTTTCTACTCCGTTCACATGTTGCACCCTATTTTTTTCCAGACGGTAAAAAAGGTCTTCAAGTATATAAACTATAGAATAAAAATAATAACGTATTACAGTATGGCGGGGTAAGAGAATTCATGGACCAATATCAGTAGTAAGAGGCGTCAGAGGGAAATGAAACAAAATACGGGCAGGGAGCGTCTTCTTAGAGTATCTCGAAGTAATATACCTATGTAGTACTGTGGTTGTCAACGCACCTGCCGGGAGTGGCAAACTTTTGCAAGTGTCTCCCCTGTGAGGCAATTATACACTCTTATCTATGGAGGCAATCTATGGGAGAGGCTTTATGTTCAGCAGTGTACTTTGGAAATACTGTATGGATGAATAAATGCACTATATTTGTTTTGTTAATTTAAGGCGACACCGCGAAAAAATTCACCTCTTTTCATCGAATAGTATAGGACTATGACACCACTAACGAAAGTGGAATTTTGATATGGGTAAATTCATGTCTTTATCTTGAATTTGCTTGTTCAAAAACACGATTTTATAATTTTGACACGATCATAATTATTTGCGAAAACACCTCTTAAAAATCACTGTAGTTGAAATTACAACGAAATTACTTAATGCTTGGGAATCACTCAAATATATTCATAACATCAATATTCATAATTTACTTGCCCATTATTTCGATTACTTAAATCAATATTTTTTTTAATATATTTTAAGATTCTGACAATTTCTAAGCCGTCTTAATCGTTGCCGGTGCTACGCAATCTTAGACCTTATGATGGCGTTTTTTAAGTTTTTATAGAAATTATGTATTCATTCGAATCAGTACGGCGATAGCCCGGAGACACTTTCTCGATATGTCGTCTTAATGCTGTTGTTTTAATAAATTTAGTGCTATGGCCCATAGACATCTTCATCTATAATCGATTAAGAAACAAAATGTGTTGTCACCCCTGAGCACAAAGATGAATGTCTTATCATACGAAATAGTAGAAGTTTTCTGCTGCTCCGCGTTGGTATTCTGCATGAGCTTGGTCTTACCCCGTTCGAGAAGACTAATTCGTGCTGCAGCTATGTATAGCTGATGTTGAACCGATTGTTGTTGATGAAACTTAAGTACCAGTTGAAGAGCACTGGCTTTTATAAGTAAAACGTTGAGGTTATTTTTTTGTAAATATAAAAAGCCTAAGGATAAAATAAATGGTTTTAATGATTATTTCAAAAACTATTTGAGATGTTTAAAAAGTTTCAAACAAAACTGTTCCACAATTTTAGACAAAAATGGTCCTTACACTTTTCTCATAAGGTTTTGATGCAAAATAGCTTTAACTTCTTTATACTGCAACACCTTTCTAGAAAACCAAGTGTTATAGGATTTTAAATGTGGTTTTTTAAACTAAATTGTGGTTGTAGCACGAATGAGTCAGCTCGACCGGGGAAGGACCACGCTCTCACAGAATATCAGCGTAAAGTAGCAGTCCAATGCTGCTGTGTTTCGTATGGTAAGTGTAGAGAACCGGATACCCTTTTTATTGGAAACGAGCCATTTCTTCTTAGTCCTCACGGGTGACAACGCATCTGTATTTTGATTTTTAATCGAGGATAGATGTAAATGTCTATGGGCTACAGCATCTATAAACCCTTTCTATAAAAAAGGATAACGGGAAAGGACCTTTTTTTACGTAAAATTAATTGATTTTAAATTTTATTTTAAATATTTTCCCATATCGCTAGAGTTTTTGAGACAATAGGAAAAAATGCAGAATGAAGTGATTTTAAACTACTTGCCCAAATACACTTAGATAGCTCTGCATATAGCATGTAACATGCAGATAGATCTGCATGTTACTTTTTGTAAAAGTTCTACGTGAACAATGTCGCGGGCAAAACCTAATATGACATAGATATGTTGAAAAGTGTTGTTTCGCATGTACATTTCAAAATATTAATGATGTACAATTGTAAATATTAATGATGTTTGATGTACAATTCTAATATTATAACGTGTAATGGCGGTGTTACAATTATTCACTACCTTATATCATCCTGAGGGAGAGATGGATGGGTGATGGAGGAGGCGACAGGGGAATATAAAACAGGAGATGGATCACAGCGACTTCCTTATAAAAAGTTACAATTATAAAAAAACTGCGGCTACCCACCAAACGTGGCAACTTTAATCCTTCTTTGAGGCGAATAATGGGGGCGGCCTACGTTTGGCAGTGGACTTCTGATGACGATGATGATTAATAAACGTCGCTGTGTAGTCGTAAAAAAGGAATCCACTATTCCATATCATCCCGCGGGTATAATAAAAGGCAACGGAGGAAGATAGAATGGAAGTACAGCAGCACCTTTCTGATAAAAATATGCTTCGTTTGCCAAACGGCCAGTGCCAATGCCAAGCGTGGCCATTATCCTAGGCTAGTATCCTCCCATGAGACTATATATATTCATTCATGAATATATATAGTACAAGACGCGATTGTACGTATCATGTGCATTAATTTACGAATAAATTCTTTGTTGAACAGCTTAACCCTTTCCCCGTCCCGTGCACTACATATAGGTATTGCTATTGTCTTACTATTGCGCCTGAAAACCGGACAGTGAAAGTGTTAAAACGTCTCTTCATTAATTTCCGACATTATGATAATCTTTAAAGTGTCCGAGATTAACTCGATAAAAAAAACTAATTAAAACTAAAAATTAGAAACCACAGGTATTTCAACAATATATTACGTAAGAGGTGCCTCAGAAAGGTTTTTGCAGTAGTTACAACCATTTGTATTATCCCGACATTTTTGCTAAAATCGCTTTTAAACATTTATATTCAATTCTGTTTATACGACAATATAATATTTTATTATTTATATAATTTATTGCGGATTTTTTAACTTAAAATTGTTTATAGACAATATTAAAAAAAACTATAATAAAGAAAACGAAAACTAAAAATTTTAATTGTTATAAAGTAGTTCTCCCCATGGTATCGTGCCAAGAACGCTGACTGCTTTTCCTCGCTGAATAGCTATACTTAGCCTTTGAACGAGAAAAGAACCAGTCCTTTCACCAGCAGTGACGACCAGTCGCGGATACAGATACAGTTCTTTTAGGAAACTCCATTGCACGTGGACCCCACGGACCGATAGACGATAGATTATTTAATATAATAAAACAATTTGCATACGGAACTTTATGACTTAATTTTACCCACTCTTAAATTTAAGCACAGCCTATCAACGAAATTTTTAAATATAACACTAATGCATTTTTGAGAATACAATATCGCTTACCTGGGCTTAGTAGAAGTAGTATATACGTTATTGAGTAAAGTACCATTTTAACTAAAATTATTTAAAGAAATATTGAAATAAAAATTGACACGTGTGCTACCAGCAAAAGCAATTCGATCAAAGAAGCAGGCTACGTTCTTAGATCCGTTTTGCTTCAAATAATTACAACTACCCTACATTTTTATCATGGAAATGAAGTTAAGTTACTATTATTTATTATGCGGTTAAATGTTGACTTGCAAAAAAATGTTTCGGCGTATTTATTGTATTTGGTCTATTTATTGATATTCATTCCATATTTGAATCTATATTTTAAGAACTTTAATTACATACTTTAAGAAATAATTTTGGATATAATATACAATGTACTAATAACAGCTTAAATTAAGATTTAATATAGGTCAACAGCTTATTCGACAGTTGAGGGCAGTGTCTTTTTTGAATTTTATTTTTTAATTTTGAAAATTTTAATCTTTAAAAACATGAATATTATACCTACAATAAATATACTTTGAATTTATCTACATCATTACAGCCCTTCACCAGTCCACTGCTGAACATAGGCCTCCCTCAAGGAATGCCACAAAGCATGGTCCTGAGCCACCTTCATGCATCGATTTCTTGCGTGTCTTACCTGGTCGTCACTCCATCTAGTGGGGGGAGGGGAGGGGGCTACGTTTCGCCTAAAAATATTGAAGTTTTTCAATAATTATTTTCGTCTTTCAATGCCTCAAAGACGAAAATAAGTAAGCGAAAGTTGAGCTTCTGCGATATTAGATCTCGTAAACTGAAACTAAATAACTAGTTGATTTCGATTTTCTCTCTTAATTTTTTATTTAAAAGAGATCTTTTGAGCAAAATTTTGTTGTTTATGTATAAATACGATCATCATCTTCATGATGATCATCATTACATCATAATTACAGCCCTTCACGAGTAAAAGTAAGTAAAGATACAGCCTATATAAGTCCCACTCTGGCATGATCCTCATTTGGCTGTTGTAGCCCTTTTTGCTTCGGCACTTCACTGTCTCGAAATAAATTTTTGATGTTGCCGTTTTACGAGTCCACTGCTGAATATAGGCCTCCCCCAAGGATTGCCACAAAGGACGGGCGCTCTACACTTCACCTACCGGTACAGGTTTCCACTCGAGAATCTTTTACCCATCGTTTGTCGGTTCTTCGAGCTATATGGCCGGTCCATTTCAACTTCAGCTTACTAATCCGTTGGGCTATGTCGGTCACTCTGGTTCTACTGCGGATTTCCTTATTTCTAAGTTTATCACGCCGAGAAACCCCGAGCATAACCCTCTCCCTAGCTCACTGAGGGACCTTGAGCATTCTCACATGCCCAGCAGTGAAGGACTACGTCTCTGATCCATAAGTCATCACTTGCAACACTCACTGGTTGTAAAATCTCGTTTTCAGGTTTTGAGGTATACGTGACGAAGATGTGTCGTAATTTTCAAAACCTGCTCAGCCGAGTCGAATCCTGGTCGGACTATTTGTTCCAGGTAAAAAACTCATTAACAACTTCGAGCTTAGTGCTACCAACAAATACCGGCATAGCTGTGACATGGATGTTACACATGATCTTTGTTTTGTCCATGTTCATCTTGAGACTTATCCGTTGGGAGACACTATTGAGGTCATTGAGCATAGTGCTTAGGTCTTCCAGCGATTCTGCCATAAAGACTATATCGTCGACAAATCGAATATGAGTGATGTACTCGTCATTGATGTTAATACTAGGTATTAAATCAATGAGAGTAATCGTTTACAGTCCAGTAGCTTGAAAACGTCTTCCAATATAGCGATGAAGACTTTCTGGGATACAACGTCGCCCTATTTTACACCTCTCTGCAGTTGGATAGGTTTCGTACTGTGGTTCTGTACTCGGATAGCTACCGTAGCCTTACTGTACAAACATTTCAACACTTCGATATACCGACAGTCAACTTGGCACCGCTGAAGGGACTGTAGCACCGCCCGAATTTCGACGGAATCAAAGGCTTTCTCATGGTCCACATACACAAGGCAAAGTGGCAGATTGTAGTCTTCGGTCTTCTGTACAATTTTCCGTAGGGTATGTATGTGGTCTATGGTACTAAAGCCCTTTCGGAAACCGGCTTTTTCGAGAGTCTGGAAGTCGTCGATTCGTAATGACTCTCGAAAACAGCACGTAGACGCGGCTCAGAAGGAAAAAGGGTCTATAGTTCTTAAAGAAAGCGTTGTCGCCTTTCTTGAAGGACAAGACCACCGCACTTCTGTTCCACGCGTCCGGTGTATTCCGCCATGGAGAGGCTATAAAGAGCTTTTGAAGGACTTTAAGTACCGGTTTTCCACCCGCTTTCAGAAGCTCAACTGTAATTCATTAAAAAGAAAAGTTTTGTTAAGTTTAAATACTTATGTAATAATGTTAAAAAACAACCGAACTTCCACCGGAGATTCTTAGCACCCTCTGCCCCGTTGTTATCATGGTCGGTACCGTAGCCAGGAATAGCAAGACCGCCGGGATTGGCGGCCGTCTCTTCGTAACTCTCATCATGGTGGATGTTTGCCATAGTTGCCACGTTATTATCGTAGTTGTTATCAGGAAGATGCTGCTGCGCATCTCCTGCCTGTTCCCCTCTGTCACCTGTCACTTACGACACCCACGGAAGATATGGGGTAGTGGATATGCTTAACTACCACTACACGGCAATGTATTAATTTAATTATTTATACCTAAAGATTGACAGAATCTGTCGTAAGTTACTTAACATTTATGAAAAAGAAAACTTTTTATAAGTGTAGATGATAAAAAATGTTAATTATATTTCTGTCAAATTATTGATTTTATGTTGATAATAAACTGTCTAAGCGGCAAAATCCCCATCGTTGCAGAAGAAAAGAATTGGAGCAGATACGGGTAGCTTCTAGCTCCGGCAGATCCCGTGGCCGAGACAGATGCATGTCTGGTATTGTGAGGGCAGTACGATATATATGGATATATGGATATATATATATATTTAAAATAGTGCGATTACTGTGGCTGGGCATATACTTATAACGTTACTGAAGTATGCCGGGAATAGGTTGGACGTTTTTGGTCGTAAAAAGAAATTTTAATAATATTTGTAGAAACGAATTTTAGAATAGGCTAGTTCAAAAATTTAATTTAAATTTAGTTCAATAACAAATGGAATTGAAAATAACAAGTTAAATATTATTTTTGTAATATTGACCCTCACAGATATTCGACCGGGTTCGATCCCCGCCGGCACCAATGAAATTGTTAATTGCAATTTTAAGTGCTGATTTACCACGTGCTCGGCGGTGAAGGAAAATATAGTGAGGAAACCTGCATGTCTGAGAAATAAGAAAAAAAAATATTTCGAAGACGTGTGAAGTTCGCCAAAACGCATTGGGGCAGCGCGGCGGACTATTCCTTGCCCTAAAACCCTCTCAGAAATGAGAGGAGGCCTGTGCCCAGAGTATATAGGCTGTAACTTTACTTTACTTTCACAGATATTATATGATTTGTGATCCATTCTTTAAAAGGGCCATGTCCAGCTGTGGATTTGAGGGTAGCCTGAAGAAAAATCCTCACTATAAATATAGTGGTCTCCGTCATGAGTTTTTAAATAGTTTCATCATCAACGGGCTCATACCTTTTCAGGAAATTAATATTATATTATCAATAGAAAAACCTTCTACTAATGTAAGTGATTGAAAAATAAATCGTAATATAGTTAGATCATTCCATCCGTTCGCGTAAATAACATTAGAATGGAAATAACTAATTTTGAAAAACAGTTATGGGACCCGTGTATTTTCATAACAATACTCTGAAGGTAAGAAGCTAGGGGCTTCAATAAAATAGGGTGAACGATTTACAGATTTGATAATAAGGTAGGTGAGGGTAATATGGCCCTATAAAACCAAAACTAGGAGAACAGAGACAAAAACAAAAAGTCGTATACTATAACTAACATATTAAGAAAAAAAATTGCAAAAACAAGCTCAGCAAAAATGTGCTTTTGAACGAATTTGCCAAAGATTTGTTTTTAAGTGACAGAATAACTTTAGCAATTAAAGTATTAAAATAGATATAAACACCTAAGGTACAAAACGTACCTTTTGACTCATAGCATTTTAGCTTTTCTGAAATTAAAACTGGAGCCTATAATCGAAATGATCAGAGAGAATCTGAAAAAAATATTAACCACGTTAATCACCTGGTTCCACAGTTCTATAATATTATTAGTTATTATTATTTTACTTAAAAATTATGCAACATTAACCTTTTCCTTTATGCAGATATTTTTATATTAGCAAATTTAAAGCTAAATATCAAAAAAATATCCAAAGAAATTAAAAAGAATTCTCGTGGTACAGTCTGATTTACACGAACGCAAGAAATGACCCAGGTACTTTTGAGAAAAGAGCTTAAAGTGTAAGGTAATAATTACACGGGAAAATAAAAATGCAGAAAATTCATTTTGTCTACATTGTATGTGTCATATCCAACAATAATGTAATATTTATATATTTTACATAAAAAAATTAACACCACTTAATCTGTGTTATGAATATAAAACACCTACTGCAGTACCCGCGTAAAATTTTACAATAGTGAACACGTGTTTATTATAAATAGTAAATCCAATATTTAAATAATTAACAAAACAATATTAATGTCATAAATTAAACTACCGATAACGTAATTATTGTTATACTTATCACTTATCAATAATGTTATACTTATCTGTTCATAATCTGGTATGTACGTAACAAAATCGTTGTAGATAAGAAGTGGCAGTGCAGAAAATTTTTGTTAAATTTAAATACTTATTTTTTAATATTTAAAAAAAATGGTTTGGGAAAATTGTAATGTAACTTTAAACTGTGGTGACGGTGGAATCTTATACACGGGCGATATTGTTACTGGATCTGTGATATTAGAATTTAAAAAGGAACAAAAAATTAAATGTTAATTAAATGATAAGTTGTTATTTTTAAAATAATATAGTTTGGCTTATTAAAATTAAATAAAATTGCATGTTTATATCGTTTCAGATGTTGAGTTCCAAGTTATAGGTATAAGTAAGGCCAGATGGTCAAGAGTAATGCCTACAGTTCCATATTTGAGGATTTATTCTGGAAAGTGTAAAGTTCTAGATACAACTGTTAATATTTTCAGTGAAATTAATGGTAAATTTACATTTTTATATGGAACATAAAGTATACGGTTTTAGTGATTCTTTAAATCAAAATAATTTTAGGTAAAAAAATACAGCCGGGAGTAAACAACTTTCGATTCCACTTTAACTTACCAAGTGATTTGCCATCGACGTTTAAAAGTTCTATTGCTAAAGTGTATTATTTCATTAGAATAAAATGCAAAGTAGCTTTTAATCGAAAAAAGATAAAAATTGTTCCATTTGTTGTCATGAGTAGCGTGGACCTTAACCATCAAGATGATATCAAGGTGAGTAAATTTGAAGAAACAGGTTTGTCACAGAAAATCCTACTATCGCAAAACCTTCTCTTTCACGGTCAGATATTTACAGATCGACACTGGTGTTGTTGAGACCTATTCCATGTAGCTACAATTTTCGGTCTTCATACTTTAAAAATCTCGCTTTTCGATCCCTATTAGTGAAAACGAAGACACAGGTGCTACGCGCCGATGTTGATATAGGTCTCAAGTTGTTTTGTCTGCTTAGGCCTTTCAAAGACTTTGAAAGAAGAAAGAAGATATTGTCTCATCTTTCTCGCAAATCAAATCTCATAAATACTTCGCAATGACATGCATAAACATATTATGGGGAAGTTTTTGAATAAATTTTCCATTTTTTATATTATATGTGAGCATCTATGCATGTTTAGGGAAAAGACCAGTATCACTGCGACCTAAAAGATCTATTGTGTTCGCTACTATGGCTAAGGTTCACCGCTAAGCCCTATGTATTCAATTAATAAAAGGAGTTGCTTAGCCGTGAGCAATTTCACTTCTTCTGGCTGGAGTACATAGTTTCCCAGATGAGTGTTACGTTTGCGCAATGTATAGAGGCGTTTCTTTTGTTGTGGAACAGAACCGACACATCCTTGAGTTTCTTAGTCCCAGACATGTGCTTTTTAAGACAACAGTGTCCAGTTAGGGCTCTTGCCAGAATGCACAATTTATTTTTATTTAATACAAGGGCCTCTAAAGCGAATTTACGATCAAAAGCCCGGATTAAGGTTTTAAAAATTTTTAAGCCTGGTGTGTCGGACCAGATCTTAAGTGATTTATTGTCATAAAGAGTTTCAAGGGTCAGTCGGACTAGGCTTCTTGAGATTCCACAAAATGGCTCAGGTCCAAATTATGTGCACTTTGAGCCCTCCCATGCAAGTTTGTCGCCAAATTCGTTGCCTACAATACCCACGTGACCCGGAACTCGTCATAAGACGACCCTGTTGTTAGATCACAGGGCGTTTAAACGGTTCACGCAGTCTCCAACTAGCTTCGTGTTCACTAAGTTTGACCTCAACGCTAGCAGTGCTGCTTGACTATCAGAGTTTATATAAATTATATGTTTTTTTTTGCAGATTGATTTCCGCACACTGAAGTATGACAAAAATTTCTGCCTGGAAAATAGAGGTGAATCTACCCAAATGCATACTAAGTTTGAATTTGGGGCGTTTTCCGTAAATTCTAAAGCCTACATCGATGCCCATTTTAGACCCATCGGTATAGGTACCATATGAGGCTACCGACCTCACCATTCTATTCAGACAGTTTTCTCTGGAGGGTAGTTCCACTATATACTTTTTATCAAAAGTGTCTAGTGGACGCATGATATCTGAGATCATAAGACCGGTGCTTTCTTAATTTTTTTTTTAAAAACGTTGCCTCCACGCTAGGATTTTATTTTGTATTTTGGGGATAGTTTACAAACATAAATTTCACAAGGACAAACTTGTTCCGTGCGGGATTCGAACCCGCGGGCCTTAGCGCTACAACTCATTGCTAAGGCACTGCGCCACGAAGCCGTCAAAAAAGCCGTCAAAAATTGAGTCGAGCATGGATCTCAATCTGTAGGAGAGCAAGCTCAGACCGCCCTGGGCGTTAATCCCATACAAACTAGCCCTCGCCTCCTTGTCTAGATAGAGATCAAGGGGCGTTAGGCATAGAGCCACTCCAGGCGATGATCGCATAGCTCCAGTTGCCATTAAGCAGGCAGTCCTTTGTAGACTATTTAGTCTGTACGCAGTCGTCTTTTGGTTGGCTTTGTTACACCAGATAATAGAAGCGTAGGTAAGAATCGGTTCATGTCTGTCCATAGGACCATACTGGGACGCAAGCCCCAGTTGTTCCCGACCAAACGACTGCACGTACCTAAAGCAAGTTTGGCCTTATGGCATACGTTGCTAAGGTGAGAGTTCCACGTTTACGCCCAAGTACTTAACTTCCGTGGAAAATGGTACATCTTTACCATTAAGTTTTCCTTGGCCTAATTTGTCCAACTGTCTCTTTTTGGTAAAGGTATTATAACAGTTCTATCAGCATTAACTGATAAACTGTTATCCCTACACCAGTTATTTATGGTGTTTAGGGCTCTTTGTATTATTGACGATAAAGTACTTTCACAAAAGCCCCTCGCAAAACTCGCAATGATCACAATGTCATCAGCATAACCCAGTGTGTCAATGCGTAGGTCTGCCATTTTGTACAAGAGTCCAATGAAGGGGTGACAAAACACCTTCTTGTGGGCAGCCTCTTATAGTTGCGACCACAATCGAAGTTTGAAACAGCGCTGTTTTTGCTTTTCTGTTTGAGAGCATCGACTTCACCCATCTGATGGTTGTGGCTTCAACATTTTTAGATGTCAGGCCCCCAAATCAGCAGTGATGTGGGGCTACTGTTGAAGGCGCCCTCAATATCTAGAGAGGCACAAAAAGCAATTTCTTTATTCTCCAGTGCTTTTTCGATCCTGTCAATGACACTAATCAGGGCTGTTTCCGTAGATTTGCCTCTGCGGTAAGAAAATTATCCATAGTCCATTTCGAAAGAAAAGAAAGCCTAAACCGAATAGAAAATTTTTACTTTGGCTACCAAACGTTAATAACTTCGCATAATATGGGGCAAAAAGTGTATGTGTAAACGCAGATTCACTTACTCGTCCTGAAACCTAATGTTTGATGTAAGGTCTAAACGATAAAATAAGTACTTAATCTGTAATCTCGAATGCAGCGTCAGAGACACGAGGGAAACCACAACAAGTCCAATATAACCAAACATTTGTGATCTTGTACAACATTGGCTCCTGTTGGAGTTCGAGCCCAAGGTGGTTTTAGTTTTTTTCTGTTTTTATTTATTATTAATATTCTGCTTCTTCTTCAGCTCGTGAAAATCCACTGGTGGATACGGGCTTCTCCTCTCGTAGTAACGCTTGGTAGGCTGGTTGACCATCGCAGTAGCATACGATTCGCACTTTGGACGCTGCTTCCCATCTGCGGTCTGGTTATTTTACGTTTGACGTATACGAGATAGTCATACCGAATGGTTAACAAATATCGTAATGGATTGATTCTCTTCCAGAATCCTCAGGCGGCACGTAAATATTTTTATTTCTTAATTACTAATTATACGTATAATTAATTTCAGGTACCAATGATATTTGAGATGAGTAAAGCATTTACATCATCGGGAACATTTTTAATGTATTTTAAAACGTATAGAGGATACGCTTCGAAGCAAAAAATGCAGTTTGAAATCAATATTCTGAATGAGAAGAAAGTTAAAATAAGTAAAATTGTTGTAACATTAATTCAGGTGACTTTTTTTTTAAATTACTTTTAAACAAACATACTGTTTCTCATTCCATTCACATTATTATTTTATACGATATGTGGGTAGGTCATCATATCTAATTTATATTTACACAATTTACATTTGGGGTACCTCATAAATACTATCTCTCTTCTCCGACGACTTTATGTCCTATAAAAGTTCGTAATTAAAAATATTGAGGGTCATACCGAGATAAAACCGGCCAAGAGCGTGTCGGGCCACGCTCAGTGTAGGGTTCCGTAGTTTCCCGTAGGTCACAATAAGTGTTCCCACTTATGAGTTTAAAGGTGGTTATCCATTATGTTCGCGCTCCAGCGGCGTTCCGCGCTCCTGCAACAGCTCCCAGTAGAGGGTACTGTTGTTTCTTGGAAAATGTTTGTTGGATAGTCCTTATAAAGTTCTAGTTTTCAGATTTTTTTCATATGTTTTTCTAAACATATGGTTCAAAAGTTAGAGGGGGGGCACACATTGTTTTTTACTTTTGGGGATTATTTCCGAATTTTTTATTTTTTTTTATTCCCTTTGTCCTTTACATTTTTTTTCCAATTTTTATTTTACCACTTTGTCGGCGTGATTGATACACATATTGGTACCAAATTTCAGCTTTCTAGTGCTAACGGTCACAGAGATTAAGCGAGGACGGACAGACGGACAGACAGACATGGCGAAACTATAAGGGTTCCTAGTTAACTACGGAAACCTAAAAAACTATCATATCTATCAAGTTAGACCAAACTGCAGCGTGCAAAATTTTATTGAAATCAGTTCAGTACTCGTAGTTTTATGGCGGACGAACAATGTGACACGTAATTTATATATATAGTCCCCGGATGACCGAGATTTGCTCGGTTTTTTTTTTGAAATTACATTTAGATACTAATTACATACTGATGAATAATATTTTTGATCTTATTGACATAATAGAAAAACTGAACTAGTTATTTGAATAAAAAATCATGAGTGCAATTAGTTTAATTAAAATTTTCGTATTTTTAAAAAATACTAAAAAAAGGCTTGTAATAATAGATTTTCTCACAAAAGAAAGGAACTTGAAAAAAAGGAAAAAAATCGAACCAAAGACAGGACGCAAACCAAGGCATTAAGATTTCGCGATCACTCGATATCCACTTGAGCTATTACGATCATTAACACAGTGTCAAAATTTACCTTCTTATATTAGTTTGTTCGCGTGGACTCCTAAACTACTTAACAGATATTAAGCAAATTTGCACACCGTGTGCAGTTTGGTCCAACTTGAGAGATAGGATAGTTTTTTTTGCCCATGAGTGACCCACATTTTTTTTGCGAATTTCAGAATTTTTAATAGGACATGACAAAGGGTCGTCGAAAAGGGCAGAACAACGTCTGCCTGGCAAGCTAGTATATATATATATATATATATATATATATGACAGAATTAGTAATAATACAAATAAAACTGCACATTTAAAAGTCTTATTGCCCTAAGTTACGGTCCATTTCAGTTTGTTTTGACTGTACAGATTTAGTGTGACTGTATTTACGTAGTTTTAATTATGTTTGGGATAAAAAATTACCTATATTAAAAATGGTATAATATATGTATATGATTTAGTATATATTATATATATATATATATAAAAATTACCTATATTAAAATGGTATATATATATATATATATATATATAAATATATATATATATTTATAACGTAATATCGGTATATTTATACATACATAGACACTCACGCCTGTCACCCAAAGGGGTAGGCAGAGACTAGACACTTCCATTTGGCACGATCCTGACACACCTCTCTCGCCTCCTTCACATCCATACACGTATACATGCTCGTCGGTTAAGGGTACTCCTAATTTGGCCCGTTTTCAATAAATCGCCAATTTGGTCGATAAATTTTCGCCTAGGACGTCCCTTTCCGACTCTGCCATTCACTTCTGCAACATAAATTTTCTTTGTCACTCTTTCCGGAAGCCACCGAAGCATTCCTTTCTTAATCCTGGTCACAACATCATCTTGCAAACCACACTCTTCTCTTAATACACAATTTCTTACCCTGTCATTCATATTCAGCCCTAACATACTCCTTAACGACCGCATTTGTACTGCGTTCATTCTACTCTCGTGCTTCTTCTGCCACACCCAACTTTCACTACCATATGTTAAAGTAGGGACCAACACAGCATTGTGAATTGCCATACGTGCCTTTTTCGACACATTTTTGACTCTTCACAATAGAGTGTAGGGCCCCATTTATTCTATTTCCTGCATTCAATCGTCGTTCTATATCTTTATCACATCTCCCATCCCTGCTAAATATATAATATATTTATATATAGCAGGTATATTGTCAAAGCCGTGATATTACAATTTCACTAGTGATATTGTAATTGAACGGTAGATCATTAATCGACTTCATTTCTTATAATTTAACAGGCCCGGTCGACGGATTCCCGCGAATTAACTAGTCCGAGTCGGGATGCCCAAGTCCCGAGCTCGCCTCGCTAAAAAATTAATAAATAAACATTATTATGTGATTGAACAACAACATTATTATGTGATTTGGGGACCGCGAAAGTGTAAAATTGACTTTTTTATATATAATATAATATGTAATATCAACGACAGTAGGTAATGGTGCCGGTGGGTTGCCCCTTGACCCAACCCTAAACCCGCGTAAATTTATATATTTTTTTATATATATATATATATATATATATATATATATTGCACATAGTGCATAGTTAATCCTCAGCCACGTGAGCGTAGACAAATTGATAGAAGTCGAGTGCTACAGTCTATAGAGTCTATACCATGGAGGTTTTTCTCTAACCTCCATGGTTTATACGTTGGTCAAGTTCGAAAGAGATCAATTCCAAGGCCAATGATCACGAGTTTTTGTGGAGCTATCCACATGTTGGCCGTAATTAGTCGTCATTGAGAATTGGTATGATATGGACAACGTTTAAGCTATTGCAGTTTCTGCTAAGTATTTATTTAATAAGTCCGTGTATAGGCATTAAGTCCGCCCTTTGTATTCTTTTGTTTTAAGGATGCAATAAAGAATAAATAAATAAATATATAATAATTATGTCAGTGTACTCCGCAGTAAAGTTAAAAAACTTTAATATATCTTCGTTAGTATAGTGAAATTGTCGAAATTATTTTAAAGTTGCAACTTAATTAAATCAATATCTCACCGGGACGAACGCCAAGCTGTAACTGACATGGGCGACTAACATGTGGACGCGACTTGCCGAATGCAGGCGAGGCCAGGCCTTTGATTTGTGCAGAAAAACCGACACTGTTCCGAAGTAGACGAGTCGTAGCAAGCGATTCCGAGTGGCGGCAAGGCATGCCAAACGAATCGTATACACGTTGGCGCTCTCCTGCACTCGGCCAGCTAGGTGAGCGTCGACAAGCAATGGTGTGGTTGGACAAATGGACTGTCTATACGTTAGTGCTTGCCTTCGCTCGTATATAGCCGGCTTTAGACGCATGGGCTGAATATGATAGTTAAACTGCGCCGTTTAGTAAAAATGCTGGGCCGTTAACCGAAAGGCTAATTAAGCTAGTTGATTGTAACATATACATCGGTAATTATTGACATAATTTCGTTTCAGAAACTTGAATACAGCGTCTCTACGGGGTACGCCAACGCTGAGAAAAAAATATGCAAAACAGAACGTAGAGATTTGTCGAATAATATAAAAGAGAGCTTTCAAATATATATGGACGTGCCGCAAACATCTCCATCTAGTATCAATGTAGAAACTCCAATGATTAATATTTCCTATGTGCTAAGGGTAACGACTACATTTTTTTTTTTTTTTTGCTATTACAAAAATTGTTTTGCTTTCTTTTTTTTTTTTTTTTTTTTTTTTTTGTTTTGTTGTTTTGTTTGTTGGGATTAGATATTTATTAGGAAGTAACCCCGGAGGGTGTTTTTTGGGGGGGGGGGGGGGGGGGGGTGGGGGCGATTTTGGGGGTGGGGGGTGTTAGGGTGGCATTTTTTTTTTTTTGGTTTTTATTATAATTTATTTTTTTTTTTTTATTTTTTTTTTTTTTATTATTTTTTTACTCTAATACTCTCTTTCTAATAATAAAATAGCTGTGTGTGTGGTTCATTTAAGTGGAAGCGGAGAACGTGAACATTGATTATTTTTATTTTATTAAGTTTTTTATTGTGTATGTAATTTTTGTTATAGGTGGAAGTTATTTTCAAATATCATTTAACGTTACTTAAAGATATCCCAGTTACAATCGCAACGGTTCCTGTCTTGCATTACAGTTCATAATTTAATTAAATAGTGAGAATGAATGAATAATTTTCTATGAAATATACAAATAAGACTTATGTTATAAACATTAAAGTTATATATAAAGTCAACATTTAAACATTATAAATACATTTGATACAACAATTATTTCTTTTATTTGCCAAAACAATACTTACGCAATGTCCATATTACATAATATGGACCTTGTATCAACAACCATATTTATTATTTTAATTTATTTTTCTTTAACTATAAAAGCAAAAATCTTATTGTTGGAATAATCTTATATGAAAAAACGGGAATAATAATAATTAAAAAAAAATTAAAACCGGCGACAGCAAATCACTGGTGATATAAGATATTGGTGTTTAACGACACGCTAAGATATATTTTTATTACAGTAACAATAAGAATTAGTTTTTTTTTAATATAATATACTTGATAAAATATTTTACTTAAATAATATAACGTTACACAAAGAATTAATAAGCTCCAAATTCAAATAAGTTTGGGACTCCTAGGTTACCAACTTTTGTATATTCATGTAATGTGTTACATAATATAATAACAAAATATAACACAAATATCATATAAGTGATATAAGCAATGAGAGGAAACATTATTTTAAGTTTTATGAAGTAGAATAAGTAGTGGGGATACTTTATAGAAAAGTGCAACAGGTTTTGTTCAGCATAAATGATTTTGAACAGCTAAGTAATCTACTCACTTATATATATATATATATATATATATATATATATATTTATATATATGTCCATTTGCAGAAATAAATAGGCGTTTGCTTTATAGTGAACGAATTATTTTAACATAGGTACGATAAATGTAAATTATTTATTACAGCCTATGAAAATTTTTATGAGTATTTCATTATAAAACTGAGTTAAATTACAAGACCCTTAGATACATTTTAATAGAACGTTGATAGAATAAATGAGATCAAAAAGTCCTACTAACTACTTAATACGTAAATGATATGTTTTCCATTTGGATTTGTTGTCATTTACCACAATTCTTCCTAGAAGTTGAACAATAAATTAACACACTTACTTATACAAATTATAATAAGCAAGTAAAAAAAAATTGTACAACCGACTTCAATATAAATAAAATGAGAAATCAACGAATTCGGAGTCAATTCAATACGCATTATAATGGATAACTCTAAAACTACTGGTGAGATCTACATCAAATTTATATACGACCACCTGACAAACACCAGATTTTAAATAAAAAAGTATCATCAGAATCGGTTTACCCAGAATAAAGTTCTGAGGTAACACACATAAAAAACGTACAGTCGAATTTAGTACCTCCTGCTTTTTGAAGTCGGTTGAAAAATACGTGACTATGAACTACATCGTCTACTTATAATGGTATAAATTATATAACACATTGGTACTTACTCTAAAATCTTAATAACTAATATTTAAGTGCTAAGATATACATACGCCTACAAATTCTTGTAACCACGGTCGTCCCGCGCAACATGCTCAATACAACGAATAATAGTACATAAAATATTGAAACAAAAAAATGATATTTTAAACTCCTTTGTCCTCATTCGAAAAGAAAAAAAATTGGACATCGTAACGGATGCTGATGGGAATTACTCGGTGTGTCGCGGGTAGAAGTGGGCGCGGCGCCGGGTGTGTCACAAGCCCGCGCGACTCTTGTACAAGTCGTCCTCGAGGTCGAACGCCGGATCCGCGTACCCAGAGTCGTCGTAACGTAAGGACCTGTGTATTGTTTTATACTTACATTGTACATTTGATCAATTTTAGCAATAATGTAGGTATTATTTCTTCTTAACCAACTCGTAAAGTCCACAGTGATGGTAAGTGGATGCTGTGTACCATTGACACATGCATCGACATCCTTTATTAAGAATCAAATTGGGGATGTGTTGTTACTCCTGGTGATTAACATAGAATGCCTCCAGTTCTCGTCACTCACCATACACCGGTGTTATTAGCAAAATCACAATCGCTGTACAATTTAGCCCGTTTTCACTCACAACAACAGACAGCAGTAATAAAGGCGTAATATGTTTTGCTTTACATGCTGTGTCAACCTCATCATCAAGGTTCCATCATTATCATCACAGCCTCCATAAGTTCACTGCTGAACAAAAGCCGCCTCAGGGATTTTTTATAGCTACCATAAAATACGGTCCTGAGCTACTTGTACCCACTTTTTTTCTAAGTGTACCTATGCTATTGCCTATGCTATGGCCTTTACAGCTTCATTGAAATATACTCGTAAAGGAGGACTTACAAGCTATTGATGGTAACTAATCACTGCAACAAGTGCACCCAATCACCTCCAGTATGTCTTATACTAGGTTTTTTTTCTTCATCTTCATCTCGTTTTTTGAAGTTGATTAAAAACTCCCTGGCCTAGCAGATAATATGTTTTGTAAATGCAATTACATACATACAGTCTCTTACTCACCTATCTGGAGTTCGAGTCCTGCATCTCGAAGGTGGCGGCGAGCGCGAGGAGGCCCGTAGTAAGGCCGGATCATCATACCGTCGCGACACGACAGTAAAGTCGTGGTGCGCGTCAATTAGCTTTTGTAGGCGGGACACCATTTCGAAGTCAGATACGGAGGACGGTACGAGGATACCCAGTAGTTTGGCGATGGAGTTCCTGCATAAGAATGTTTGTTATCCCACTTAGTTATCAAAATATTTAAAAACGCTATTTAAAATAAAAGTACTTTTTATTAGAAGACTATTTTTAATATTTTGCACAACATACATTATATTCATAAATTTTTAGTTTAGTTTTCATCGAAACATCGCAAAGTAATAGTCATGCATGCAAATAATGTCCAGTGATTATAATGATGAAGAATAGAATTTGATATGAACAGTTTTTTTTTTATTTCTTTAATGCACTCAAAACTACCTAATTTTTTATGAATAATTTGTCCCATCCGTATAATGATATAGACAATATTAGTATAGCTCAGGCCGTCACTTGTACGCCTGAAGAGTGTTATTTACACATCTCAACAAAAAGTCACCTAACCATTCTTACCCAAAACATAAGGAGTATATACAAAAATCTTGATATTTTTCAAGCTATGCTCCACTCAACTAAAACCGATTGCGACGTGCTAGTTATGACTGAATGTCATCTCTCAAAAATAAAAAGTATTCCCAAACTAAATGATAATTATAATATACACTTTGCAAAAAATACCTTAAACCAATGTGATGGCGTAGTATTTTATGTTAAAAATAATCTAAGCATCAATGTATTTGAACCGAACATTACAAACGCGTCCTGCCTTATTTTGAACCTTTACGACACTGTTATAATTGGCATTTATCGCACTCCATCTATTAGAAATACTGACGAATTCGTATCATCCCTTCAATCTCTTTTCATACAATATAATTGCTATCCGAATATTATTATAACGGGTGACATAAACATCGACATCAAAATCCACTCCAAAGATCCAAACTGTCATAACTATTTAACATCACTCGCTTATGGGATACTCCCAGCTCACAGGCTCCCAACTCGTGATAAAATGAGCTATGATCACATGATGCTAAAAACGTCTCACCCCACTTAATCACGTATTGTTTTTACTAACCCTACCACTGACCACAGTACAGTCATTCTCGATGTGATGTTTGAACCTCTGCGACGCAATCTGGCTCTAAAAACCAAAATTTCAATCAATTTTGATGGCACTTTGAATGACATTAAGGCGGACTTACCTGATATATTAACAATAACAGACCCTTCTGAAGCTGCCCAGGTTTTGGTTAATAAAATCTCCACTGCGATTAAAAACAACTATAAAAAGTGTCCCTTCAAGAAAGATACATATCAAGCCCTGGATAACACCTGGAGTTTTACGTTGCCTTCGCAATCGCGACAAACTTCATCTAAGACTAAAAAAGTATCCGTATAACGAAATCTTGAAAGTAACCTATACACGTTATAGAAATTATTGTAGTAAACTTGTTCGAAAACTTAAAATAATGCAAGAAAGAAACAATTTAACTAGGGCTAATAAAAATCCTAAATTACTCTGGAAAACTATAAAATCTATAGGTAACATAAACAATAATAAAAATGACCACATACATAACCTACTCTCACTTAAATCGACACCGTTGGAAGTTGCAAATTGTGCTAATAATTACTTCTCTAACTTAGGTAAACGTCTGGCTGAAAACTTATTATCGTCCCCTATGTCTTATAATTCTATTCGTGGCATAAATAATATTAAATGTCCCTCTTCATGCAATTCTTTAGTTCTTTTAGCAACAGACACAGCAGAAATTAATACAATCATCCGTAACTTATCTAACGACTCCGCCCCCGGGTGGGATAACATTCCTACTGCTTTTATTAAAATGGCCAAAAATTATCTCACCCCCGTCTTTTGTCATGTGTATAACCTCTGTTTCGAAAAAGGCTGTTTCCCCTCTGTTTTCAAAAAAGCTATTGTTACACCCATCTATAAAAGTGGAAATAAAGATGAAATTGAAAATTATAGTCCTATCTCTGTACTTCCAGTTCTGGCAAAAATTTTGGAAAAGCTCATTAACAACCGCATTAACGAAATCCTTTACAAAAACAGCTTGCTATCAAATAATCAATTTGGCTTCAGAAATGGCGTCTCCACTGAAGACGCAGTTCTGGCACTTTCCGACACTATCTGTAAGCACCTAGATGCAGGCTATAAATGTGTCGGTGTCTTCCTGGATCTTGCAAAGGCGTTCGACTCTGTTTCAATTCCAATATTATTACATAAGTTATATCACATTGGCATAAGAGGGACACCCCATAAGCTATTCACAGACTACCTAACGAATCGCCTACAGCATCTAAAACTTGGTGACGTTATCAGCCAGTCATCTCCCATTAGGTACTTACGGCGTTCCACAAGGCAGTGTACTCGGAACGACATTGTTTTTGATATATGTGAACGACCTCTGTAGCCTCAAACTTCCCAATTGCGATATATTTACCTATGCGAATGATACCGCGCTGATCTTCAGTGAAAAGAGTTGGGATTCTCTTAGAATTACGACTGAATCAGGATTACGACATATATCCAATTACTTAAGATCACATCTATTAATACTTAATGTATCAAAAACCCAATTTATTCCTTTTACGATACGAAAATCTACCTTACCACACTCGGACTTTGCTCTCAAAATTCATAGCTGCTCCCAACACCAGGTGAAAAATTGTCAATGTGTTGATACTGCTAGATCGTCTACTATTAAATATCTAGGTATCACTATTGACCAGCATCTTACATGGAACAAACAAATTGAGTGTACCATTGACAAGGTAAGAAAGCTTATGTGGACTTAGGCTCAGACATGTCGCAGAAAATAAAATCCTTATATGTACGTATAAAGCCCTAGCCCAATCTGTCTTAAGCTACTGCATTACAGCTTGGGGTGGAGCAGCTATTTAATAACTCTTGAAAGGGCTCAAAGTGCGTTACTGAAAGTGATGTTCTTTAAACCAATCCGTTTCCCAACTCACGAACTACACAAATCTTACAAAATGTTAACAACCCGCCAAATGTACATTTTAAAGAGTGCCATTCGAACCCACAGCACTTTACCATACACTGCCCCTTAGTCACTAAAACGTAGAATTCTACCTGTTTTCAATATTCCGCATTGTAAAACCAAATTTAAAAAAAAAAAAAAACAATTTGCCTATCAATCAAAACATCTATATAATAAATTAAATAGTAGGCTTAATATGTATCCCCTCACTTGTGCTAAATTAAAAAATTTGCTAACAACTACTCTGCTTAGCCTCAATTATGAAGAAACAGAACTGCTTATTCGCTAAACACACACACACACACACACACACACACACACACACACACACACACACACACACACACACACACACACACACACACACACACACACACACACACACACACACACACACACACACACACACTTTCACTCTTTCTTAAGTATCAAAAATGTTATCAATTCATGTCTTAAGGATTGTTAAAGCACTAATATAATATGTAATATCCTATGTTTTAAATTGTTAAAAATCTGTTGGAAGAGCGGGGTACCTCGTAACACAGGTTCAACCCGGTACAGGGGCTCTTGCCACTTGTTTGTTACTACCTTTTGAAACGCTATAAACAATTTTCAATTTTTAATTTTAATTTTTAATTTAACTCAGTTGCCTTCACCTGAAGCTTTGTAACTGCGCTTCCCTCCTCTGACACTCTGCGAGAGCTTCCTTCGTTCTCGCCAAGTCATCCCTCAGCATACTGATCTGGCGTTCGGTAGTCGTGCGTTCCTGTTCAAAGGTCTCTCCCGTGGTTCGGATTTGTTCTTTCAAACAGTTAACCTTGCGATTATAACGCGTTCGCAGCATTTCTGCTTCCTCCAATTTCTTTTGCAGTTCGTCGACTTTTCGTGCACGCTCTAATGACGATATCTAACAAACAAATATACCATTTTAGGTTTGTAAGTGTTCAATCACCATAAGTTTTTAAAGTCTCACAGAATACCAGCGTAAAATAGTAGCTTAATGCTGCTGTATTTCGTATGGTGAGTGTAGAGACCGGAGACCCTTTTTTACTGGAAACGAGGCAATCTATCTTAGTCGTTTGTCACCCTATCCTATAAAAAATGTGGTAGAGCGACGCTGCAGCTGTGTTATAGTTGCTTTCCACTGAATTAAATAGTAGCTAAGGCTGTAGTGTAGTGTGTGGCGTGAACTGGAGTCCCTTTTAACTGGTACCGAAGCATTTCTGCTTCGTTCTTAGGGGCGACAACGTATCTACATTTAGATTTCTTCGAAGGTAGGTCTTTGGGCCAACGCATATATAGCATACACTATTTATCATAAACGTAAGTTTATATTACGTGAGCAAACATACTTTGAACCCAAGCCGGCACTAATAAAAGTGTTTATTACAATTTACTCGAAATATGACGATTTATCACATGCTCGACGGTGCAGAGAAACATCGTGAGGAAGCCTACATATTGTGACGGCCCAATATTATTATTAATAATTAAATTCAATATAAAGGGGCGTCAAAAATAGTCTTAAAAGATATATATTAAGCAATTAAGTTAAATTAATAAACATAAAGTTAATATATTTCAGACATTATCCCAATAACATAGTATATTAAAGGCAAAATTATTGTTTTTCGTAATAAATAAATTTATTTAAAAACTTGAAAAAAATATTTAAAATAAGATAAATAATAGAAATACAAGTCAAAAAATATTATAAAATTAAGTTAAATAACGTTTATAAGATAATTAGAAAATTTGTTAAAAATTGTTTAAGTCATGGGAGGTGTTCGTGTATAAAAGAAAATTTTTCTAAGTTGTGGAAGGAGTTCACGTATAGATGAAATTTCCTAAGTTGTTGAAGGAGTTCATGTATTAAAGAAAATTTTCCTAAGTTATGGAAGGTGTTCACGTATAGATGTCTTGTATGGAGGAAGCTGTCGGAGGTACATACCTGCAGTTGTACATATATATGGGGTGGTCGGGAGCCCGACTGCCTGAAGTACTGTAGCACAATGACTAGTCCTATATTAGGGACTTATGATATTAAACTCAATGATACAAAAGCAATACTATAGAAGGTCTCCATGATGAATTTGCATTACAATAGTAGGGTCGTGGGTTCGAACCCTATATATTAATGACTTATGAAAGTAAGGTCTATGATCGAAAAGCAATACTATAGAAGGTCTCTATGATTAATATGCATTACAATAGTAGAGTCGTGGGTTCGAATCCTATATATGAATGACTTATGAAAGTAAGGTCTATGATACAAAAGCAATACTATAGAAGGTCTCTATGATTAATATGCATTACAATAGTAGGGTTGTGGGTTCGAACCCTATATATGAATGACTTATGAAAGTAAGGTCTATGATACAAAAGCATTATTATAGGAGGTCTCCTTGATGCATAAGCATTGTATGGGGTGGTCGGGTGACTGACTGCTCCTAGTACTGTAGCAAAATGACTAGTCCTTATTAGGGACTTGAAAAGGAATATTATGGTGGCGTGTGTGCTGCTTCACGAGCAACTGGTCCGAGGTAAACTTGGACTCGCTAACCGATGTGTCCTAGACATATCATCTTAGTGCCGGTGGTAAGCGGGTTTGTTGTAGCAATACGGCTTTCCCGTGGACATCGCACACCCATACCGTTTGTGGGCGACGTCGTTGCGCATAGCGATGCGTCGTCTATCTTTCGGATTGGGATGATGAGTGTGTTTGGTAGCACTTTTAAGTGTAACAGGCATACTCAACTTCATGTCTTAGTGCATTAGCGCTATGATACGTGGAGTTTTGTTCACTGGCGTCTTAGTAGTGTGCTACTATGATACGTTGGTGATATTTTTTATATAACAACAATAAAAACTTTGTTGCCGAAATCGATAGGAGTCATGTGGGTGTGTTGTGAGGGGGCGCCACCCGTATGATAGTTGCATTGATGCTTACTGCTACTTGCGGTATTGCGTCTTGTGATGGATCTGCGGGTGTGCTGCGCCTGATTCGACGCATTCCTGTGGTTCTGGTCGATGGAGGTATACAATTAACATCTTAGTGCCGGTGTTAAGCGGGTTTGTTGTAGCAATACGGCTTTCCCGTGGGCATCGCACACCCATACCGTTTGTGGGCGATGTCGTTGCGCATAGCGATGTGTCGTCTATCTTTCGGATTGGGATGATGAGTGTGTTTGGTAGCACTTTTAAGTGTAACAGGCATACTCAACTTCATGTCTTAGTGCATTAGCGCTATGATACGTGGAGTTTTGTTCATTGGCGTTTTAGTAGCGTGCTACTATGATACGTTGGTGATATTTTTTATATAACAACAATAAAAACTTTGTTGCCAAAGTCGATAGGAGTCATGTGGGTGTATTGTGAGGGGGCGCCACCCGTATGATTGTTGCGTTGATGCTTACTGCTACTTGCGGTATTGCGTCTTGTGATGGATCTGCGGGTGTGCTGCGCCTGATTCGACGCATTCTTGTGGTTCTGGTCGATGGAGGTATACAATTAACATCTTAGTGCCGGTGGTAAGCGGGTTTGTTGTAGCAATACGGCTTTCCCGTGGACATCGCACACCCATACCGTTTGTGGGCGACGTCGTTGCGCATAGCGATGTGTCGTCTATCTTTCGGATTGGGATGATGAGTGTGTTTGGTAGCACTTTTAAGTGTAACAGGCATACTCAACTTCATGTCTTAGTGCATTAGCGCTATGATACGTGGAGTTTTGTTCATTGGCGTTTTAGTAGCGTGCTACTATGATACGTTGGTGATATTTTTTATATAACAACAATAAAAACTTTGTTACCAAAGTCGATAGGGATCATGTTGGGTGTGTTGTGAGGGGGGCGCCATCCGTATGATAGTTGCATTGATGCTTACTGCTACTTGCGGTATTGCGTCTTGTGATGGATCTGCGGGTGTGCTGCGCCTGATTCGACGCTCTCTTGTGGTTCTGGTCGATGGAGGTATGCGGGTGGTGATGTCTGCTGGGATGTATGGGGGACCTTGGGATGGTGTAAGCCCGACGATAGTCGTATTGATGCTTGTTGCGTTCTGCAGCATTGCGTCTCTGCGATGGTTGTTTGGTGGGACGCTATTCTCAATGGCGCTCTCTGCGTCTTGGTTTGACTCACACATATGTAGCTTTGCCCAAGTCGGGTCCCTTCATTGCGGGGCTGCAGACTGTCTGCCCTCCACGATGTTTTATATAACAACGTAATATTATATCTCTGTAACTTTCCCACCTTTGAATGATTGAAGGCAACTTGTCGGTGGGTGAGACAAACATGATCGAAAATGCATTTACTCAACGTCAGTGACACAAAACCTTTCTGATGGCGAATTATTACTCTTATCTTATAACTGCCTTTTGGCTATATCTGCCGTTGTATTGGTTGGTGGAGCATATGTGTCGACCTCATGCGGGTGGTAGCTGGCGGGAGGATCTGAGGAGACTCTCAAGGCTGCGGCCGAAAGCCGCACAACGTGGGACCCCATTCCCTTGAGGTGAGCGGTAGACTCATGACACGCTCTGCGGCTAGTAGCCGTGCTGATCATGCAACTGGTGGTGATGCCATACACTTACATCACGTCTGCAGGAGCGGCGGTCTGGCAGGTGGTGGCGCTCACGGAGGGTTTACGGCCAGTGTGCCTATTTGCCTAAACCGTGTGACGTACATTCACTCTGGCTGGATTCGTTCGTATTCTGTTTGGCGTTTACACGCATTGACATGCGCGACTTCGGTCGATGTTTGTGCTTACGCACTAACAAGGGGCCAAGCCTCTTTTACTGGTTCGCCAGTTATTTTGCTGTGGACTACGGTCCAGTTCCCGAATTAGCGTTCCCTGCGGGGGGAGTGCATCAAAATGGTTGGCACTCACCGTGCACGGCGTGTGTGGGGCCGTGTACCTCCCCTACATTTTTTTTAAATAAATGTAGGAGAGCGAAGCCCTTGTATCGGGTATTTTTGTATAAATATATTTTGAGCCTTTTCCAAGCGGGAAGGGATAATAATATAATTAATAATGTAAACCTGATGCAAGTGGAATAGAGACGTTTTATGTTCTTAACCTTTTTCGAGCCCTGTCTTCGTGAACGGGGTTCACTTAGCTTATAAGGCACTACCAACAGCTTTCAATTGCTCTAGTGAATATTCATTCTTCCAAAAGACACCTAAAAGAACTAAGTTACTAAACAAACACAACGTAAATAAGGGTCCTAACTAAGACGATCATGCCAAAATATTACAAACGGCCTATTATTAAACCTTTAGAAAGATCATTTAAACATATTTTATTATTCCTGGTCACATATATATATTTTTTATCGAAAAGGGGTAAATTAATTATATCTAATATAATTATTATTATGAGAGAGGGGGGAAGCGTTACAATTTGGTGCCGTGACCAGGATATATTTTAAAAAGAAAGTCGTCTGTATAAGAATTATGAAGTAGGCGTTATGCCTACAATTTGTTGTCCGTGAAATGGAGAGGTGTCTTGGAGGATGGTGTTTGCTGGGGGTGGTTGAGAGTCTGGGGGTGGGGCTTTAATATTAATATTTTTGTTTGTTATAGATGGTGTGCGCATAGAAATCTAAGACAAAATAAACTAATAAGTGAAATAAGTGAAAAGTACTCAGTAACATTTGTATAAGTGAAAGACATAACAGTGCTAAAATCTGGAAAAGTATAAAAATATAAAAATGGCTAAAACAAAGAAAAGTTCAAAATTAGTGAAGGCTAAGCCTAAAAATGAATTAAAAATACTTCAAAAATTAATTAAGAATGTAGTGAAAACCTTTGAGGTTAAAATAAAAGATCTCGAAGAAAATTTTATCAATCAAACAAAAGATCACCAAATTAAAGTAAACCAAGAAGAGGTGTACGGGGCGAGCACCTCA